GCTTTACTTTGGTTATGTTATAATGACCAATCAGAGCGCGCGCTTTACTTTGGTTATGTTATAAAACCTACTTGAGTTGTTGAGCATCTTTCTTTAGATCAATTCTCACAGACAATTCCTGCAGGCTGATTGCAGAGTCCTCCGCTATTCTACACAAAGATGTGAGGATGTCTTTTGCCATGTGTTGAGACAAGGCATTCTGAGTCGAGCAAATGTTTTAAAAAAATAAGAAAACAAATCAAATAAAAAATAAATAAATGATAAAATTATAAATGAAGAAGAGAGCTAAAGGGATTTCATGTTACAGCAAAAGACATGGTTTCCTTTTGGCCAGACAAATCAAATCTGGACTCTGTTTATCTGTTTCAAATCCTAATGGGAGTAATCATCAAAGTGATAAGACACCATGCTCTCACGGTGCTACATTCCACTGTTATGGGGAGGTGTCCACAGTATGAAGGTGGCCATTAGTGGAGGTTTGACTATAATCTTTTGTTGTATCATTTAAATTTTAAGATTGTTTTTCATGAACATTACAAAGAATAATGCACAAAATTTTGATGTGGCTCCTGAATAGCAGTGCTACCATTACTAGTCATTTGATTCTTGATACAGAGACAAGCCAAAGCTGCTGCATCTGTGGTTCACAAAAACCATTTATCTAAAAGAGCCCCTACTAATGCATTAAAGAAAAATGCAGCCATGACTTTGAAAAAAAAGTTGCTGGTATATTTAATTCAAAGTAACAGAAACCATTTCAGGTAAACTAACACTACACAAACCTCTATTCCAGTCCATAACTGATCTTTAATCTCTCTCCGACTTGCATCCTCAACCCTTGGTGTAATAAAAATCCACGAAAAAGATAAGTTGTTGCATTTGGTAAATCAGTGCATCAAGCTTAACTTTTCTTCAAAGTCAGCCAAAATGTCGTTTGTCAATTTGTCACCAATAAAAATAAAGGTTGACAAAAACCAGTAACAAAATGGCACCTTTTACAGTACATAGACTACAAACAGTCCCTCCTACTTTTTGAGCA